GGAGACTCCCTTTCATCTGATTGGCTACTCACAGTATATTCAATCATGGGAGTAATTACATTAAAACACTGATCATGGCCCAGCCAAGTTGACACACAATCTCAACCATCACAGGTACCAAATTCTGTCTTAGTTATCTAGTGCTGTTATAACAAAAATACCACAAGTGGATGGCTTTAACAAACAGAAATTTATTATCTCACAGTTTAGGAGGCTAGAAGTCCAAATTCAGGGTGCCAGCTCTAGGGGAAGGCTTTCTCTCTCTGTCAGTTCTGGGCAAATGTCCTTGTCTTTAATCTTCCCCTGGTGTAGGAGCTTCTCAGTGCAGGCACCCTGGGTCCAAAGGATGCACTCCCCTCCTGGTTCTTCATTCTTGGTGATAAGAGCTCCCCCTGTCTCTTTGCTGGCTTCTCTCTTTTACGTCTCAGAAGAGATTGACTCAAGATACACCCTAATCTTGTAGATTGAGTCCACATAATTGCCTCTAATCCTGCCTCGTTAACATCATAGAGGTAGGATTTACAACACATAGGAAAATCACATCAGATCTCAAAATGGTGGACAATCGCGCAATACTGGGAATCATGGCCTAGCCAAATTGACACACGTTTTTGGGGGTATACAATTCAATCCATAACACCTTCACGAAATTAATAGTACATTTACACTGAAATAACAATTAAGAGAAATCAACTGTGTTTGTCTATGTTGTCCACTACCATCTTTTCTGAGCCAGCCAGTTCTTACTTGACTGCTTAGGAGAGGCATGTGTGGTTTGTGGATTTGTTCACGTTTTTTTCTCCTCTTCCTCCCTTTCATTGCTCACCTCTGGGCAATTTCATCCCTTAATAACAATGCAAGAATTAGGTGGGTAGGATAGATGAAAAGATGTAAAAATAGCAACAGTAAACCTTGTTTACTCTGAGGAAAAGAGTATTTCATAGTTTAGGCTGTGTTTTCAGAGATGACTAAATAGAAAAAAACTGTTGACATGAAATAAGATTTCAATTAGATTTAAGTGGGTCATGCATTTATTCATTCAAAAATATGGAACAACCGCAATGAAATATTCTGTGGGAAAGCTGACATTAAGGTATTTAAAGCCATAGAAAGACTAAATTCTTAGTGACAGTCTCTGCCTACCCTTTCCACCCCCAAGTTTGAACTATTTTAGACAATTAGCCATATATGTATCTTGTAATTAAACAAACATGAGTCATATGTTTCTTAATTCTAATCAGCACATTCACAATTTTGCACAAATGTATTGATAAGATTATTTATGGTAGGGAGGAAGAGGTGAGGTCTTGATGAGGCTAGGTGATGGGTGGGCTCCAGGGGATGAGATGGTTGTTGTTAGCTGTCACCATCTCATGGCGATCCCATGCACAACAGAATGAAATGCTGCCTGGTCCTGCGCCATCTCTGTGATTGACTGTGGATCCAACTGTTGTGATCCATAGGGTTTTCACTGGCTGATTTTCAAAAGTAGATAGCCAGGCCTTTTTTCCTAGTCTGTCAATCTGGAAGCTCTGCTGAAACCTGTTCAGCATCATCGCAACATGCAAACCTCCACTGACAAGAGTCGTGGCTGCACTTGAGGTGCATTGGCTGGGAATCGATCCCTGATCTCCCGAACGGAAGGCAAAAATCCTGCCACTAAACTTGGGCCTATAGTGGGCTTATAGTATAGCACCCATTTAAGACTCCCAACGTGATCCCAGTTTGTGTTCCTTATTCATCCTTTCCCTTGAAATCACGTTTCAAAGCCTCCACTAGTACGAGTAAGCCATTCAGCATGTGTCCAAACCCAAGATTCTGTTGAATGTTGAACTTTGTTATATTAATGATCTGCTTTAATGCTTAGTTGCAAGCAAAATTGGAAGAGGCTACACAGGCCTGGCTCACTATTATTTACTCCCCATTGCTAACTGCCACATTGTCTCATGATCTTGTTTCTCCAGTCTCTATAGAAAATTTAAGATTAACTGATGTCCCTCTTTGGAGGGTAGAAAACAAGTGATAATGATCTAAGGATGAAAACCAAACAAAACACCCATCTTGTGACGAGAAAAACCAGGATGTCGCCAGATAATCCCCAAGGATGTCACAGATAACCTGCAAGAATACCAGTAGAAGATTAACTCATCTGAGACATGACCGCCTCAAGGGGAAACTAACACAAACTTCTAAGACCTGTAATCCTGTCCCTATAAAAGCCTTCAGCCGATCTCCAGTGGGGGAGACGGGATTTTTGGAGGAATCTATTCCCCTCTGTCTCCTATGTATCGATGTATAATAAACCTCTTGCTGCTCACCTCACCCGTCTCAGAATTGGCTATTGCGGCAGGCGGCTCCAACCTGCGTTATTGCGGTAACAAAATCTGTTTTGTAATCAAAACTGCCCTCAACCAGGATGTATACTTCCACAGCTAGGAAAGGAACTGTGCTTTTGCTCTCGGTGATTTTTGTGTGTGTATGTGAAACTGAATGTGACAGTCACAGTCGGGTTTTTTAATTCCAGAAATATGGGAGTTTAACTAGTTATCTTTCAGTTATTGATTTCTAACTTAACTATATAGTGGTCAGAGAATATGGTCTCTATGATACCCATCCTTAGACATGTAGAGATTTGCTTTATGACCCAGTACGTTCCATACATCCCAGTAAACGTTCTTGAAAGGAATGTGTATTCTGCAGATGTTGAGGGGAGTGTTCTATATGTGTCCATTAGATCAAGTGTGGTAATTGTGTTTCTTAAATCTTCTAGTCCCTAAAAGATTTTTTGGTCTTGATCTATGTGCTGGTTTCCTGTAGCTGCTGTAATGAATTACCACAAACTAGATGGCTTAATACAACAGAGGTTTATTCTTTCTGGAGGCCGGAAGTCTGAAATCAAGGTGCTGGCAGGGCCTCATTCCCGTTGGAGGCTCTAGGGGAGAATCTTTTCTTTCCCTCTTCCAGGCTGTCGGCCTTCCTTGATTTGTGGCTACATCACTCTAATCCCTGTGTGGCCATATTGCCTCCTCTTCCGCATCTCTCCTCCTTTTCTGTGTCAAATCTCCCTCTGCCTTTCTTTTACAAGGATACTTGTCATTGGATTTATGGCCCACCTGGATAAGCCAGGATGATGTCATCTCAAGAACTTTGATTTAATTACACCTGCAAAGCATTTTTTTCTAAATAACTTCATAGGCTCCAGGGATTAGGATGCAGACACATCTTTTTGGGGGCCACCATCAACCCACTGCCATCTAGTAGAGACAGCTATGTTAAAATCACCTGCTCTAACGGTAGATTTCTCTTTCTTCTTGTAGATCTGTCAATTTTTGCTTCATATATTTTGTGATATTATTAGAGACATACATTTACAATTCATGTATCTTCCTTGTCAATGAAATTTTTATCATTATGTAGAGACCCCTCTTTAGTCTCTCTCTCGCTCTCTTTCACATACACACATGCAGTCTGTTGATGGCAAACTCTTGCTGTTTGCCTGAAAAAGACTAATTTGTCTTCCTTCCATCCTTCTTTTGCTGGGTATAAACTTCTAAGTTTATATTTTTTACCTTCAGCGCTTCACTCAATTCTCTTTTATTTAAAAATATATTTTTGGTATCCCTAAAATGTCTCAGTGCCAGAGAACTGGTATAGTTACAGGTACAGAGAATTTAAAAAAGTGTGCTGATTCAAAAAATATATACAACTAATATGGAGCAGCAAAAAATTCTAAGCAATTGATAAAACCGTTCCATTAAACATAGTGCCAAATACATTGGAAAAATATACGTAAAGAAGCTGAAACGAACGCAGACACCTAAGTACATCCAAACCCCAACCCACTGCCATCTAGTCGATTCTGACTCATTGTGACTCTATAGGACAGGGGAGAACTGCCCCATAGGGTTTCCAATCTTTATGCAAGCTGACTGTCACATCTTTCTTCCACAGAGCAGGCCTACGTTTTGGTTAGCAGCCCAGCGCTTTAACCACTGTGCCACCAGGGCTCCTCCTAAGTACATCAGAGGCAACAATTTCTCAATGGCCGAAGTGATTCTTCACACACTAATTACGTGTCTTGTGGAAATAGACATTCATTACTTTCTAGTTTAAATGGTTCTTCCAGGTAACTTACCAATAGCTAGAATGAGCTCCACACTAAACAATTACAACATATTTTCTTACATATATACTACTACTTGAAGCCCTGGTGCCCGGTGGTTAAGAGCTTGGCTGCTAACCAAAGAGGTCAGCAGTTCAAATCCCACCAGCCACTCCTTGGAAAGCCTATAGGGCAGTTCTACTCTGTCCTACAGGGTCGCTATGACTCAGAATTGACTCGACGGCAACGGGTTTGGTATTGCTACGCTCAGAGAATGCAAATTTACCCTGAGGAAAGAAAGAAATAATAGAGGCACATATTATTTCTTCTTTGGCCCTCAAGACGGTCACATAATCTCCCATTTGTAGTCAGTTTGTGAAAAAGAGTTGGGTCTCTGGCCTAAGCGTATGGAGAGAGAGTTAAGGAACTTAAAAAAAAAAATTCCGCTACTATCTCAAATGCATTTATTTTTTCGCCACCCTGCTAAATTTCGGTTTTTATCCTCGGCTATGAGGGTTGGACCACCAGGGCCGAGGACGGCGTCCATGAGTAGTTGGAACAAGGGCAGCCCAGGACGGTCCCCCCCCGTTTATAATCTGCAACCCGAGGCCTCTTGTGGCTCCCTATCTCCGTCCTCACGCAAAGGCCGAGGCTGCAAAGCCCTCAGCAGCGCCAAAGCCGGTAAACGGGGAGGACGTGAGGAAAACACCTGCGAAAACCTAGTCAGTGACAGAACGAAAACCGAGCTCTGAGCTCATCTTCAGCAGCTGCAAGGCTCCTTGTCGTCCTGGTAACCGGATCTAGAACGCGCGTGCGCAAGCCAAACTCCTTATCACGTGAGGCCGGCCGGGGGAGGGGCCGACAATCCCTGTTGAGACCGGTCTTCCTGCCCCTCAGGGCCCTTCGAGGCGGGGCGAATGCAACTGCCTGTTGGAAGCTGCTGTAAAATGTCGTGAGGGGCGCTGCCGTTTTACGGCTGCCTCTTCCCGACGCGAGCCCGGGAGCGCCCACCGCCGTCAGCTCTGTCTCTAAGAGAGTCGGCCCGGCGCAGAGTGAGAGAGCAGGCGCGCCGCTGCCCTCTCCGCCGCGCCGGTTCCGGCCCCCGGCGATGTGATCGCGCGGAGGCGGCAGTCCCCCCTGGCCCCGGGCTGAGACGGGCAGCAGGTGTCTGCGAGGCGGGCGGGTGCCGGGGGCCGGCAGGATGGAGGAGAGCATGGAAGAGGAGGAGGGGGGCAGCTACGAGGCGATGATGGACGACCAGAACCACAACAACTGGGAGGCCGCCGTGGACGGGTTCCGGCAGCCCCCGCCGCCCCCACCGCCCCCGTCGTCGATCCCAGCCCGAGAGCCTCCGGGAGGGCAGTTGCTGGCGGTGTCCGTGGACAGGAAAGGCCCCAAGGAGGGATTGTCGATGGGGCCGCCGCCACCGCCGGAGGCCAATGGGGTGATCATGATGTTGAAGAGCTGTGACGCGGCCGCCGCTGTGACCAAGGCGGCCCCTACCCCCACCCCCGGCTCCACCATCAACATCAACACCTCCACCTCCAAGTTCTGTGAGTCCAGCCTTTCCCCAGCAGTCTTGGCTTTCCTCCTCCCCACCCAGACGCCTAATCCACCAGTCCCGGAGCAGCCCCGCTGCCTTTGTTTCAGGCCTGGGTCTCTCCCTCCACTCCCCTCCCCTCCCCGTCCCCTCCGTCGTTTGGTGTCAGCCAGGGCGGCCGTGACTTCTTGTATTACCTGGCCTAGGAAGCAGCCTGGTGCGCACACAGCCCCAAGTTCTCCTACCAACTCGATCCTTATCACAGCTGGCTATCTCTCAACATTGGGAAGCTCTTTTCTCCTCTGTCCACCTTGTAAGTTTCACCCTCAGAGGTTGGGGGGGAATAAGGCTGCCTGAGTTTCGTTAGGGAGAGGCCTTCAACTTCATTCTGTTCCTGCAGCCAGAGAGAGAAAAGAAATCTGGCAATCTGTGTTCTTGTGCTTTTTGCCAGTCTGCGTTAAACAAGTCAGCGGTTAGGAAGTTGACCTATATCGACACCTCGTTCTTTCCCCTTGCCAGTGTCCATCTTCTGCATCCCAGTAGGGACATGTAGGAGTTGCTTCTTGAGTGCCACCAATGCAGGAAGCTGCGACATCCGTCTTGAAGCTAATAATGCATAAAATCACTTTTCAATGCCTCCACTCAGACGAGTAAGCCATTCAGCTTGTGTCCAAACCCAAGATTCTGTTAAATGTTGAACTTTGTTAATGATCGGCCCTAATGCTCCATGAGGCAGAATCTGTTTTGTAATCCGAGACTTCCCCAACCAGGATGTATACTTCCTATAGCTACCAAAAGAAATGTGCTTTTGCTTTCAGTGATTTTTTTTTTTTTTTGGTGAAACTGAATGTGACAGTCACAGCCGGGTTTTTTCTCTATTATTAACTACAAGTTTGTTTTGAATGACATCTGGTAAAGCAACTGGAGATTTCATTTCTAGTTACTAATTTTATCAAGCTGCACCAGTAATTGCCCAGTTAGCTGTACAGAGAAAATAGGTTTATTGAGATATATAGTCACAGCCTTACACAATGATTTTTTTTGGTGGAAACAGCACATAACCTCAATATTTATTTATCTTCAAGGTACTGCTCTAGTGAAAGACATTCATAGACCGTGTAGGTATGGTTGGTTAAATGTGTATGTGATTTTTTCCCTGTTATGCATACATGAGAATAACGTTTTTATTGTCTGGTTTGTGTGTTGAAGTCTATGTTCTGAAATCAGACCTTGTACAAAGTGGTAGGGTGACTTACCTAAATGCTGAAGGAATTTGCTTTAGTGCTTAAAGTTCACTTGAAGAGGTAAAAAAAAAAGTCAGTGTAACAAGAACAAAAACATTTGCCAAGTCAAAAGACTGTTCTTTGAAAAGATGAATACGCTAGTCAGAACTCTGATAAAAGTGATAAGAAACAGATGCAAATAAAGAATGAAAAATGGGAGATAACTGCATACATGAGATTTTTTTTTAGAAAAGGATAGTATGAACTGCTATAGGTAATAATTTGAAAGCGAAGATGAAATGTATAAATTCTTAGGGAAGTATAAACTGAAAATTGGTACAAGAAGAACTACATAGTTTGAAGTGACTAATATTTAATAATCTGGAATAGTAAAGACCTCCTCTCTCAAAAAGTTTGGACCCAGATAGTCTTAAAAGAGAGTTTCATCAGACTTAAGTAACACATAATTCCTTTTTACCAGTTGTTCTGGAAAATAGAAGAAAAAAAAAGAAAACACTAAGCACGTTTTTATGAGGTTAGTGAAATATTGATTCTAAAATTAGATAGGGACAATGTAAGAAGAGAAAATTATAGGTCTGTTTCACTTCTTAGCATAGATATGTAAGTCCTACAGAAAATATTAGCTCATCAGCTCCAGCAACATAGTAAAAGAATTATGATCCATAGAGTTTGTCCTAGGAATGTAAGCATGGTTCAGCATCTATTAATCTGTTGATGTAATTTATCTCATTAATAGATTAAAGGAGAAGTATCATTATTTTAATCAGTGTCTTCAAATCATTTGATAACTTCCCACACCTGTTTATGATAAAGGAGCCCTGATGACACAGTCCTTAAAGTGCTCGGCTGCTACCCAAAAGGTTGACAGTTTGAACCCACCAGCTGCTCCTCAGGAGAAAGATATGCTAGTCTGCCTCTGTAAAAGATTACAGCCTTGGAAACCCTATGGGGCAGTTCTGGTCTGTCCTATAGAGTTGCTATGAGTCAGAATTGACTCAGTGGTAATGGGTTTGATGGTGCAGTGGTTAAGCACTCGGCTGCTAACGGAAAGATCGGTGGTTCAAACTGATGAGCCACTCTGTAGGAGAAAGATATGGCAGTCTGCTTCCCTAAAGATTTCAGCCTTGGAAACCCCATGGGACAATTCTACTCTGTCCTGTAGGGTCGCTATGAGTCGGAATCAACTTGATGGCAGTGGGTTTCGTTTTTGGTTTTTAAGAAGGGTCCTGGCCAGCACTATAAAGGGGAAAAGTAAGAGGTATAAGGATTGAAGGGAAAAGATAAAACTCGTTATTTTCAGATAATATGATCACCTACCTAGAAAAACTATTAGAATCACGAGAGAAACTGTTAGAAGTAAGTTGAGCAAGGTTGCTGGATTTAAGATCAGCCTAGAAAACTTAATAGTATTTACCGCACTAGCGATACCCAACTAGTAAAGATAATCAAAAGTAAATATTGTATACAGTAATAGCAACAAAACTATAAAGTATCTAGAAATTAACCCAAGAATACAGAAGAGCTTTAAGGTGAAAACTTTAATAAGGAATGAGAAGAGGGTATAAATAAATGGAAAAACTTTCTATGCTCTTGGATAGGATTACTAATTATGATAAGGATGTTATTTTTCTCCATTTTAATCTATAAATTCAATATAAATGCAATCAAAATTCTGATTGATTTGTTTGATAACCTAAGTCTAAAATTTATATGGCAGAGTAAAGTTTGTGAACAGCTAAGTCAATCTTGAAAATTATTTTGGGGAGGCTTGCCATATTAGAAGTTAAGATAATATTTTAAGGCTAGTAATAAACATTGTGGTGTAAGTGCACAAATTGAAAAAGTAGACCAATGGAGCAAATTAGAGAGTAGAGACTGACCTGTGTATATTTGTAAACTTAAGATAAAGGTGGTGCCATAAATCTCTGGAGAAAGGAGTCATGTGGTGTTAGGGAAAGTGGCTCACTGTATGGAGAAAAATAAACTTAGCACCATAAACGGGTTGGACTCGATGGATTAAAGACCTAAGTGTGAAAAGAAAAACTATAAAGTTAGTAGAAGACAATATAGAAGAAGCTCTTTCCCTAGGGAAAGGCAAAGACTTCTTAAAGCTTCAGAAGCTTCTTGTTGTTGTGTGCCATCAAATCGATTCCGACTCAGCGACCGTATAGGACAGAGTAGAACTGTCCCATGGGGTTTCCAAGGCTGTAAATCTTTACAGAACAGATCGTCAAGTGTTTTCTCTTGTGGAGCGGCTGGTGGATTTGAACCACCGACCTTTTGGTTAGCAGCCAAGCACTTAACCATTGTGCTACCAGGGTTCCTTTCAGAAGATTTTAAGGAGAAAAATTAATGACTTAGATTATATAAAAGTTAAGGATGTTCGTTCAGCAAAAGTCAGATGAAAGCATGAGAGATTTTTTGAGTGCCTAAAACTGCAAGAGAGTAATATCTAGAGAATACCAGGGATTACACATGAGCAGGAAGGCAGCAACCTCTGTAGAAAAATAAGCAAAGACTTAATAGGTAGTTTACAGAATAGAAAATCTCGACAAGTATAGGAGGAGATGTTTGAAAACAGTAGAGAGAAAGCAGTAATGGAATGTCTCTTTCCACCTATTACCCATTAAACCTGTTGCTGTTGAGTTGATTCCGACTTATAGTGAGCTTGTAGGACAGAGTAGAACTGCACCAGTAGGTTTTCCAAGGTTGTAAATCTTTACAGAAGCCGACTGCCACATTTTTCTCCCACAGAGTGGCTGGTGGATTTGAACCACCGACCTTTAGGTTCGCAGCTGAGCGCTTAACCACTGCGCCACCAGGGCTCCTTAGACTGGCAAAAGTTAGAAAGTTCGATAATGACAGATGTTGGTGGGGACATGGGGCTCTAAGAAAACTCAGTGGTGGGCGTAAGAGTGTAGTGACCTGTGGGATGGTAAAATGCTTGAGGTGCTTGTGGACCAGATAATGAGTGTTATTGTAGTCCTGGGCTATGACGGTGAAGGTGTACTGCTGGACTGGAAGGTGAAAACAGCTTCTGATCTCTGTTTTTGGAATAGCAGGGGAGAAAAAGCATTTGTTAGCTTGATGGATGAATACTAGGTGGTAGGGAGAGTGTTGATTTATCCCAGTAAAGAGACCATACCTGGAACAGCAGCTATGATTGGAGTCGCCACTTGATTTGATTTACTATAATCCACAGTCTTTTTTAGAGTTCTGTCTCTTCTGCACTGACCAAATTGGCTAATGAAATCAGAATGTCATAAGAATCACCATCTCTATATGTTTAAAGTCTGAAGAAGGTGATACTCTGTAGTTCCCACAGGAATATGCTGCTGTTTTGGGTTGTGGGGCAGTTCTTGAGGATTCCATTTGGCCCTTCCTACGCTGATAGCTCTTACTCCATAGGTCAGAGAGTCAATAACTACATTCAGGAACTTGTAGAAATTACAGTGTGCATCCATGGATCTACTGGGCCCACGGTGATGGATTGAGGCCAAAACACCCATTTATCATATGACCTCCATCAGTACCTACTCTGACTACTTTACCACAGTGACACTCTGGGCCCTAAGAGTTAGTATCAGCTTGGAGCCAGTGTTGAATAATCTTTGGAAAGCCTGAGTTGATTCTATTGGCCAGTGCATTGTCCCCCTGATAAATAGCTGCATGTTCTGTTGGAAAAGGCCAGGAGGAAGACTTTAAATATTTTCTTACAGCACTTTTATAGGTTTTTTCGTCAATGGAACCATCTCCTCCTTTATCCTAT